GTTAGGCACACTCCACAGCAAAATGGAATGGTCAAAAGGATGAATAGAACGCTGCTAGAAAGAGTTAGATGTGTGATGTCAAATGCAGGGCTGTCTAGAGGTTTTTTAGCTGAGGCGTTAAACACGGTTTGTTACTTGGTGAATAGGTCTCTGGCAACAGTAATTGGTTGTAAAACTCCTATTGAAATGTGGCCAGGTAACCCAACTGATTACACGAATTTACAGGTGTTTGGCTGCCCTCGTACTACCATGTGAATGAAGGAAAGTTGGAACCAAGGTCAAAGAAGGGGTTGTTTATGGGATATGGTGCTGGAGTAAAAGGGTATAGAATCTGGTCACTTGATGAAAGAAAGGTGATTCTCAGCCGTGATGTGATATTTGATGAAGTATGTTGCGTGACATACGGTATTCGTCTACTTCAAAAGACCAAGAGGAGAGGATCTTCGAACAGGTGGAGCATGAGTTAAATGATTCTGATGAGGGTGAGAATGTTTCTGGACAACGTAGAAACATAACTCAAACAGGACCTGTTGAGTCCAAAAGTCAGCACCAGCCTATGGAATTTCGGTCCATAGCGTTAGACAAGCCTCAAAGACAAGTTGGTAGGCCGATTCATTATGGTTTTGATGACATGGTGGCCTATGCGTTACAAGTTACTGAAGAATTGGAGTTCTTTGAGCCGTCTACTTATAAAGAAGCAATCACAACAAGGGAGGCTGATGTGTGGATAGCAGCCATGAGTGAAGAAATGGAGTCCCTTCACAAAAATAGGACTTCGGAATTGGTGAAATTACCTCAAGGCAGAAAAGTTGTGACCTGTAAGTGGATTTTAAGCGGAAAGAAGGGCTGCCAAGAGCTGAAAATATGAGATTTAAGGATCGTTTGGCGGCTAGAAGTTATAGCCAAGAGCAAGGGGTTGATTATAATGAAATCTTCTCACCGGTGGTGCGTCATACATCCATTCGAGTGCTGTTGGCACTAGTAGCACAACAAAATTTGGAATCGGAACAGTTGGATGTTAAAACAGCGTTCTTGCATGGAGATCTTGAAGAAGAAATTTATGAGTAAACCGGAAGGATTTGTGGTTCAAGAAAAGGAAGATTATGTTTGTAAGCTCAAGAAATCGCTTTACGGGTTGAAGCAATCTCCGAGGCAGTGGTATAAGCGATTTGACAACTTTATGGTGAAACATGGTTTTAATCGAAGCCCTTATGATTGTTGCATATATCATAAGAAAGTAGCTGATGGTTCACGTGTGCATTTGCTACTTTATGTGGATGGATATGTTGGTGGCTGCTTGAGATAAGGCTGAAATTAAGAGGTTGAAACAACTCCTTAATTCTGAGTTTGATATGAAAGATTTGGGGGCTGCTCAAAAAGATACTTGGGATGGAAATAGTTTGAGACAGATCTAGACATAAACTTTTCTTGTCACAAAAAAGTTGCATTTTGAAGATACTTTCTCAGTTTGGTATGGCTTCGGCAAAGCCTTTGAGCACTCCATCATCTGCAAATTTCAGGTTATCGGTGGCTTTGTCTCCTCAAACAGAAGATGAAGTGGAGTATATGAGCAGAGTTCCTTATTCAAGCATTAGTGTCGTTTCGCGCTATACGGCTTGTCAAGGAAAAGAACATTGGGCTGCCGTGAAACATACTTTTCAGTATCTTAAGGGTTCAGCTGATGCGGGTCTCGTTTATGGAGGAAAAGGAGACAGTTTTGTTGCTGGGTATTCAGACTCAGATTATGCAGCTAACCTTGACAATTGAAGATCATTAACGGGTTATGTGTTCACTGTTGGAGATGCCTTAGTAAGCTGGAAAGCAACGTTACAGCAATCAGTTGCTTTATCCTCAACATAGGCTGAATATATGGCACTTGTAGAGGCTGCAAAGGAAAGAATATGGTTGAAGGGTCTGCTTGGAGATCTTGGATTTCATCAAGATCAAGCTGTGATTTTTTGTGACAGTTTAAGTGCTATTTGTCTTGCGAATGATCAGGTGCATCATGAAAGAATAAAGCACATAGACGTCCGTTATCATTTCATACGGTCAGAAAGAAGAGTTAAAGTGAAGAAAGTGAAGACTGATGATAACCCATCTGATGCACTTACTAAACCTGTTCCTTTAAACAAGTTCAGACATTGTTTAGATCTCCTAAACATTGATAACTGGAAGTAGAATCTTTGTAGAATTAAAGTCAATGTGGAGATTTGTCGGGTGGTGTGACTTCAGTTCTAGTAGACTTAGCTTAGTTAGTCTGTTATTTTCTTTCTGTTTAGCCTATAAATAAGTTGGGCCTAATCGTGTTGTGAACACTTCATTTTTCTCATCTAATAAAATTCTCTGCCTCACGCATCCAAATTCTCTAAAAGATTTCTAGTAATTTCTTAACAATATTCATGAGTCTTTCTCCCCTTGAATAGCTAATTTGGGATTAAATGGTTGGTCTTGGAAGAATGTAACATCCATTGTATTATAGAATTTATGTGACAGGAAATAACATTTGTAGCCACTTTAGTTGTTGGAATAACCTAGAAAGATACACTAGAGGGATTTGGGTTCAACTTTACTACGTTTTTATGATGGAATATGAATGAAGGATGTCTATCCGAAGACCTTGAATGGAATCTTTGACAAGAACCTAATGTGAGGATAGGTGACCATAAGAGTTTGGTGAGATGTTTGAAACTTAAGAATTCTAGATGGCATTCGATTGATTAGGTAAGTAGCTGATAGGACAACATCTCCCCAAAATAGAGATGGGGCATTGGTAGTGAACAGAAGGGAGTGTGCAACTTCGAGGATATGTCCGTTTTTCCTCTCAGCAACCCCGTTTTGTCGTGGGGTACCAAGACATGAACTTAGAGGGATAATTCCATTATCATGGAGATATGTCCCTAGATTCGACTCAAAGAAATCAGTCCCATTGTCAGATTTCAAGACTTGGATTTTGGTTTGAAACTGATTTTTGATCATTTTATGAAAGACTTGGAATATCTGTCATACTTCTGATTTTTCTTTCATAAGGTAGACCCAAGTGAGACGAGTGTGATCATCAATGAATGTGATGAACCATCTAGCTCCAGTGAGATTTTGTATTTTTTTTATTCTGAATGGTCCCTACACATCACTGTGAATCAAGTGGAATGGACGAGACGTCTTGTATGGTTGGGCTGGATATGAACTGCGAGTATGTTTTGACAACTGGCAAATTTCACATTGAAATGGAACTGAACTTTTATTGATTAAATTTGGAAATAAACGTTTCAAGTACATGAAATTTGGGTGACCTAATCTATGACCAGAGATGAATAGATTCTTTGGTTCGACTCGAATCTGAAATGGCACTAATTGAGCTTCTTGTAGTTTTACCATGAGTTCAGTCTTTAGGAAGAAAAGGTTTCCACACACTTTAAAACTGCCAATTGTGCTCCCGGACTTCGAGTCCTGAAATTCACTCAAGGTTGGAGATAGCTTAGTAATACACTTCAAATCTTTCATGATTTTGATGATAGACACCAAATTATAGGCATGCTTAGGAACATAAAGAACTGAAATAAGGGTAACATCCTTTGAAATGATTATTGAACCTATACCCTTTAAGTCTGATAGCATACCATCAGCTGTGTAGACAGTAGCTCTTGTGGTGTTGGGCAGTATTTCACTGAAAAAAATTATTATTCCAGGTCATATGATCAGAGAGTCGACGATCCAGTCACTTACATTCAACCTTGCATTTAGGGCAGTATGATCAGAGAGTTGCGTGGACCACACTGTGGTTTCCTCGAACCATAACTCCCTCGATATAGACTCAACGTCTTCTGTTGGCTGCTAATGTTGATCCTTCAGTCTTTGGTTGAGTGCCCGAACATCCCAGCATGACTTTCCTCCTTGTTTCTTCTCAATGCGCCTCTGAGAATGCTTCTCAAACACTGGGTAGAGCTTTGCAACTTAAAATTCGCCCTCGAACTTCATCGAGGTTCTGGTTTAAACCAAGAAACTCGTAAATCCTTTCTCTTTCTAGGATTCCTTTGTATTGGTTCCCATCTTGAGCACACTTCCATGTAACATCTTCCAGCATATCTAGTTGTTGCCAGTAGCGTGTTAGCAGGTTGAAGTAGTCGGTGACAGATCGTTCTTCTTAGCGTATATCATGCAAGATTCCTTTTATTTCAAAGATTGCCGAAGCATTGTCTTTGTTGGAGTATGTGTCTCAAGCCGCTTCCCATATTTCTTTGGCAGTCTTGTAGTACAAAAAATTCTCACCAGTTCCATTAGTCATCGAGTTTAAAAGCCAAGACATTACCATATCGTTCTCAGTCTTCCATTTTCAAAATTCTGGACTATTTTCTGCTGGTTGCAGTGATGCTCCTGTCAGGTAATCTTCTTCTCCTTTTCCACTTACAAAAATCATCACCGAATGTGACCATTGATTGAAATTGTGGCCTTCGAGTTTGTGTCCCGTAATCGAAATAATCCAACCTTCTGAAAGTGTGGGTGCAACAGTAGACATCACGGACGATTGGTCTGTTGGAGTGCTACTTTCTGCCTCACTGACCATCGGGTATTGATGTACTTAATCATCAAGTTTTTCGAATAACTTGAAGAGAGGGAATGGATCAGAAGCTCTGATACCATATAGAATTTATGAACCAGAGATTGAAGGTCTCTCTCTCTCTCTCTCTGTGCTTTAATCTGTATTTCTCATCAATAAAAAAACGAATTATAAGGACTACTTTATAGCCAGGACATTAACAACCAGGCCTTTATTCTAGTAAAGATAAACACAACCTATCTAACAAACTATGAGCTGACTGACAGGAGATAAACACAATCTATCTAACAAAATATGAGCTGATCGACAGGAGATAAGGATCTCCTGTTATTGGCTGACTTTTATGAATCATGATCCAAATTTATATGAAATCTATTTACACCCCTAAGTTGCAGGATACCATATCATAAATCATGTTTGCAAAAACTAAGTAAAATTAACTCACTTGACATTATGTAGACACTCTGTCAAGCTGACACCATCCTGTCATGGAACAAAAGGTTATATTTTCATGAAAGATAAAGAGAAAAAAACAACACAAGGGATTCAGAACTCAAAAGAGAAGTTAACATGTCCTACAACCCTCCTGCAAAAAACTTGCTGTCTGAAGTTGGAACAAGCCAGGCAAGATGACTATTTTTTTATTTAGGTCAATCGAGTTTGACCAGTGGTGGTGCACCACCTGTTAGATGCACAGGTGCCGTAATCTGCTGGTGGCTGGCAGCAAAGGGCCGTGATCATGGAGCATGGTGAGGATCGGTGCTTTCATATCTAGAGTTCTTGATGGGCCAAGTCATGAAACCCTATCATGCATATATATTAAACATATAGGCGACGTCTATTTGTAGAAAGTTAAATGCTGGCAGTCATCCATGTTGGAATGTAGGCTTCGGCCTACTAAGTTAGACAAAAGGGAGGAGGCATAAAGTAAGGAGCCGGCCCTAGTCTCTACCCTAGTTTCCTTGATTAGGAGATAACCCTAATTATGTTTGTCTATATATATTAATCTCATTGTACTTGTAAA